TGAACCCCCAAAGCCCCATCTGCACCCCTGAATCACACAGACCGGCACCAGGAGCTGCCAAGCCAGGTATCCAAGCCCCCGGGCACCACTGCCATCACCCCCCCGTCAACGCACATGCGTGCGGAGGACTTCCTTGTGCACCCAACCAAGCCAAGGCACGCGTGCTTCTCAAGTCTCTGCAGCACTGAGGTAGAGAGGGGCGAATGAAGGACCCCCAGGACAGGCAGAGGCAGTACCCACTGGGTGAGCAACAGGCAGGAGGCTGAAGTGTAGGGAGGGGAGAGAAACAGCCCATTGCACCCCAAGGGATGTGTGCTGCAGGAGACACAGGCACAGAGTGGGGCTCGAGGCCTGCTCAGCTGCACACAGGCACCACGCCCCACACAAGTCCCTCTGCTAGGTATTACAGCAGCAAAATGCACCAGCTTCACACACGCTCACACCTCCGTATGCAGAATGTGGATGCTCCAAGCCATGGCCTTGCACGATGAGCCCCCGGGCGGCAGAGACACCCGATGAACCAAGCACATGCAGCATCATAGGCAAGGAGGGCTGGAAGGGAGCTCAGGAGGTCACATCCAGTCTGACCCCTGCTCCAAGCAGGACCAGCCCTGCAGCACAACATGCCCCTTCTATTCCTTCCGGTTTTAGGGGCATATACGGAAGAGGCATAACATGGTGCCCCCGCCATGAGGTTCCCCCCCACCCCCGTCGAGGCCCAAATCGGAGGATGAAAGCACCCACAGGCCTATGGCACAGATGACTGCAATGGATTCTTTTAATGAAACAACTGCCCTCCCCCTGCCCCCGCGGCCCGGAGCTTCCTAGAAACGCTCTTTGGGGAAGAGCCGCATTGTAATCACCAGCGCGCACACAGCAGCCACCCACCCCATTCCTGGGGACAGCGCCATGCCCCAGGGAAGCGTGCCCAGGATGCAGCCTCCAGGGCATTAGGAGCTTGCTCAAAGTCACTCTGCAAACAAGAGGAGGGTCCGGCAGGTGGGGCAGCAGAGCTGGGCCCCCAAACTGCCTCTTCCATCACACCCCGGGAAGGCTCCTTCATGACGGGAGACTCGGGCGAGGCTGCCCGCGCCACGCTGGGGCAATTGCAGAGGCCAGCGGCGACCTGGGCTTCCCGAACTGCCGGGCAGCAGCTCTCGCAGGCAACGCGCCTCGGGGGGCTGCTGGAGAAGACTCCCTGCAAAGTGAAACAGCTCGTGCAGAGAGCGCCAGCACGGGGCGGTGCTCGCTGCCCCGGGAGGAGCCTGGGAGCTCCCCCACCTGCGGCCGCCTGTCAGCACGTGGGCCGCGGCTGCGCAGGAGGCACTGGGAACGGCCGAGCGCTTTCCCAGCTGCCACCGCCACGGGGTAAGGAGAAACACTCCCGCCTCTGCCCTGGGAAAGAGCCCAGGCCCAGGCGGCTCAGACGCAGGCCACGCAGCCGCGAGTCCGAGGGTCAGGTTCTCCTCCGCGGGGGTTTTGCGACATGCAGCCGGCGGCAAGAGCCAGAAAAGCCCCCTGCGGGGGAAGCTGTCCAGAGACACTCACCTTCGGGGGGGGGACACCTGACCGGAGAGGGGCCGTGGGGGGCCAGTCGCCTCCGCTCCTGCCTTCCCCTCCGCGGAGGGCACCCGCTGCCCGCCTGCTTCTACCAAGCTCTAATGAAAAGCTAGTTAACAGTTAATTATTACCCATTCAGATACACGATCCGCGCTGCCTGACTGACGGCCAGGGGAGGATAAAGCCGGTCACGTGACGCAGAAATCCTTGCCTTATGAAAGCGCCGTCAACTATATTTAGTTCTAAAAAGCGATGACCTGCTCAGGCGCCCCCCCGCCCCCTCCTTCTCCCGGCCCAGGGAACCGGCCACTCCCCGTGCAAAGCCGGCCAACCTTTCTGCTGAGAACGGCAGACTCGGTGCACAAGTGGCATGAGCCGGCCGGCCCGGGGGGAGACGGAGGTGGGGGACGGACGGGTGCTTGCAGTACAAGGACGCAGGAGAAACCGTTCCTATTTCCCCGCAAGAAGGGGCTGGAGAGAAGGGCAATTCTGGAGCCGGTCGCTGCGTCCACGCACAAGCCCCATCAGCGCCACGGGTGGGCTTTCCATCCTGAGCTCAAGTCCGTGTCTGATCTCGGGGAAGCCGAGGGCCCGAGCAGCACAGAAGTTGCACGTGGCAGGGATGCTGCGGCTGCTGGGGACCCAGGAACAAGGCACAGATGCAGCCCCTTCTTGGAGCTCGGTGCCGGCAAGCACGAGGGAACCCGACACAGCCCGCCTGCCATCATCCACCCGGTACCCAAGGAAAAGCCAACACCGCTTCCCCACCCAGCCCCGTTATCCATCGGCGTCCGGAGGGATATTCTCAGCTTGACTGTGCTGCCGCCACTGCTGCCCAGGAGCGAAGTGCCAGGGGGGTCAGGACGGTCACAGCCAAACCCGCGGCGCTGCACAGATTCAATCCCTTTAATGGGCGGCCGCCGCGCCTGCAGGCGCTGCGGGGGGCTGTGTAACCCGACAACACCTTCCTCGGAAGCGGCCGACCCGCTTACTGTAAATACTTAACCGGCGACGCGCTCCAGACAGGAATAGAGCGTGCCGCGTGCCAGACGGCTGCAACCCCACGCCAGCAGAGCCTTCGATTCTGCGCTTCCAGACCTCGCACCCCACGGGGCGCTTCGCTACAGACCCGTTGCAAAGCAGCGAGGGGGGGGGAAAAAGAAATCCCAGAGCCCTCCTCCGAGGTGGCACTGCAAAAAGGACAGGCCCTCCCTTCTGTGCCCTTCCACACCTGCCGAAAGCTGGCTGGGCTGAAAAGCCTCCCAGGCATAAGCGCAGGCTGCCGGCAGACCCGCTTCTCTCTCAAAGGCTGATTTGGTCTGAGCTGTCAATACGCCCGCCTGCAGAAACTGCGCTCGTGCCTCGCTGAGATGGAGCGCTCTCGGGCTAGTCCGAGCCCCGCTCCGCTTCGCTCCTGGACGAACATCTCAGCATCGCGCTCAGCTGGCAATCGGTTTGTCAGCGGTGCGGGGCTCTGCACCAGAGGTTTATGAACCAGCAAACTTCGAGCGGGGAAGAGTCACCTTTCTTACCTTCCTGAGCCCCTCAAAAGGATTTCTAGAGTGCCTGCTTCATCTCTTCCATGCACTGAGCTGGAACGGTTCTCCCTTGGACTACGGGACCGGCTGCAAACAAACCCTGCATGAATGCAGCATGCATCAGTCTCCTCCTGTCCCCCGGGGGTACACCCACACTGGGCACAAGGAAAGTAAATCACAAAATGCAATATGCCCCGGTAGTACAGGGGAAGCAGAGAAGGAGCTTTTTTTAATCAGCCTTCTCTTAAAAAAAAAAAAAAAAAAAAAAAGCCCAATTTACGGCATCTCCTTGGGCTAGGCCATTTGAAGAAGGCTTCACCCCAGAAAGCAGTAAGTGGATCTCTCTAGTTGGTAAATGCATCCACTCCTACTGCCGGAGACCCAGCAGGGCCCCCAAACGTTTCGGCAGGTTAAGGGAAACCCCTCCAGAATGTAAAGACTTTCTTAAAAAAATATTCAAGTAATAAAGCAAGGCAGCTGATACATGGTCCCAGCTACAGCAGTGGTTTTTAGGCTCTCAGAAAATGCCAACTCTTAGTTTTCACTCCACAGAAAAATAATAGGGCAATTCTTCCACTGCAAAGACCCCAGAAAGACCGCAGCTTGGGTTTTCTACCCAAAATCTCTGGGTTAATCTTGTCAATCGTGTTTGCACACCTAGCTGACAACGTGGCACGACACCTCCCCCAGGTGTCGTGGCACCCTGGCCGAGGACGACTGTGCTCGAGTCACTGCCACCACTGAAACACAACCAGGCACGTTCACAACCCCCTGCACGAATACATCTCGGGAACACGTGCATGTCTCGCAAACAATTGGCACCGAGAGATCGAAAGCCTCTCTGAAAGCTGGAGAGCACAGAGGTGCTCCCAAAGCCTTCAGGCAGAAGCAGCAAGGGATAAAACCCCCCGACTACTTACGTAAGGCGGATGTAAAGATGCAGGATGTCCACTGCAGCCTCGGCCTCGGCGGATACCGCCAGGAATTAGAGGTGTTCGGGGGGAGGACACGTAAGCCTGCCTTGGGACTGTGCCCTACCAAGTACGACAAGTCCCAAAACCGCTAATCCTTTCTTGTGGCAAACCCATCCTGCGGGACTTCACACAGCGAGGCCTTTCCCGGATGCCAAAGCACGAAGCCGAAACAGGAGCGGTCATGACCTGGGCTTGAAACCACCCAGAGCCCCCACATCTCCCGTCTTCACGTGGGCCCACAGCTCCCTGGTTCATCTCTCAGGAGGGAACGTTTCAGCACCAGAAGATCCTACCTCTATAGGCACCAAGGCAGGGGAAGCTCACCATGTGCACAGTATTAGACTAGCTTTTATTCCCAGCTACTTGCCATGAAGCACAAATGTGACCAGGTCCTTCAGAGCCAAGCACCCACCCACCTGCAACAAAAGCTGCCCCTGGGAGCACAGCTGGCCCCATCCAAGGCAGCCGCCCTTCCCCGCAGCCAGCTGTTTCATTTCTTCCGAGCTTGCCGCATGTACCGTCCTGAGTGTTTTAAGATACCGAGGTTTCACGATAAACGTAACATGGAAGAAACGCGTGTACATACACACACACGTATATACATACGTACATACGTACATGGCGCCGCACCTTCCGAGATGTTCTGCTTTGGCACCAGATTGGCAGTCATGGAAGAGCCATGCCATTAAAGCAACAGTATTTTTTTAAGTCTTTACAGATTCCTTGTTTGAAAAATGATACAGCTGCTTGGGGGGGGGAGGGGGGGGGGGAAGCCTTGCTGGAGGTGCGTTCGGCACTGCTATTTTGTCAGGTAGGCTGCATTTACCGAAAAGCACAAGCTATCATTTACTGCAGACATGTACTTTGGCCCCACCCAAAACACAATTTCATTTCCAAGATCTCCGATGCAGCGGGTCTCTGGTTTCAGATGAGGGAAGACCACAGCTTTGCACAAAGCGGCTCTGCCCATCCGAGGGCACCCCCGGCCACTTGCTCTCGGGCCCACTCTGAAGCCGGGCAATGTCAATAAAGGCTTAACGAGAGGCTGGAGGAGCGCCTCGTGGAAATACTTCCACTCTGCGGCTCCCTGGTGCATTTTCTTTATACTTTGTGCTGGACTGACCCTCAGCTGCATTCAGCACGGGCAACGATGCAACTGCCACCCCCAAAATACCCCACCCTTGCTGGCGACTGTCTCGCTCTCCGGGACCTTCTGAGAGCAAAGAAAGCCAGGGGGACAAGACTGGCTCTGCGGCCGTGGCCCTGCGAAGTTACCCAAGGCTGCGTTTCTGGGGCAGGCTAGCAGGGTCCAGTTAAACGCTCCTGCAGTTTTACTGGGACCCTCGCCCGGGCGCGGCGGCCTTTTGTTCTTTTTGCTAAAGCTGACAAGCTGCCCAAATGTCTGTAAGGTTGTTTTTGGAAAATAAATAGAATAAAGCTCTGATGTGTCACTGAAGCCGGGGTTATTTTTAGGGCATCTGAGTCTCTGGAGAGAGAGAGAGAGAGAGAGAGAGAGAGACACACACACACACGTGGTCCTGGGGACCATCATCTCCGGTGGCTGCTCAACCATGGATGGGTTTTATCCTCACGGCGGGGAAACCGAGGCACAAGGGAGACTGACTGCCCACGGTCACACAGGGAGCACGATGCCCTGCTAGGAAGTAGCCTCTGGGCACAACCCTGATTCAGAGGTGCATGGTCTGCATTGCTGGCTTTGCAACATCAACCTCTCTGCGACACCTAGATTTTACCTTGGGGTCAGCGCTCTTCTCCCCTCCAGCGACACCAAGATGAAGTCTCTGCCTGCGACAGACAAGCCAGACTTCAGATGGACTCTTGCTTTTTTGGAGATGCCCCAGCATCACGGGCCCCCAACTCCATGGAGCTCCCGCCAAGCCTGCCCACCTGGCTCTCCTTCCTGGGCATCTCAGACCCCAACCTTTTCAGTCACATTTCTCCTGCTTTGATTGCACGCTCATTAGGCCAGGTAGCTTGGCTTCAAAGCGTTCTGCGCCACCTGTCCCTGCAAGCACGAACGGCTCCAGCCATCGCACACGCACACTGCCAGCCGCTGCCACAAGACAAGTCGAACCCGAAATGCTGCGACCGCTTTACAGAGCCACGCATTCAAATGCACATCCCCATCCAGCCAACTGCATAGCAAGCAGTGGCAATGTTTTGACCCACCTCATATGCACAGCAACACGCGTGATGCCCTTTGTGTCAGAGCCCAGCAGTGTTAAATGGAAAGGCCTCTTTCCATCCTGGCCCTGCGAAACCAGGTTCCCAGGTGGTCGCCCCATGGTTTTTTTAGCCGTCTGGATGAGGATCTGGCAGCGCAGACGAGGGGAAGGTCAAAACAGAGGAGTAGCTAAACCATCTGCAAACACTGGCACCTCCAGAAGCTTCAAGGTTCATGCCAAGGCAGCCAAGAGCCGTCACCAATATTTAGCAGTGCAGAGGTTTCCACACAACCCAGCTTTTCCTACATCAGAACAAGCATCCTCTGGGACAAGCATCCTCTGGGATGCATTCGTCCATGAGAAACGAATGCTGGAGGCACGGACTGCACAAAACGTATTCAGGTTTCGGGCTGATTTGCATTTTTGACTAAACAGGGGAAGTCCTTTCTTGGCCTTTCTGAGAAGAAATAAAATAACCAGTTTCCACCTCCAGCGCTGCAATGGCTTTCCATGAAGAAGCAGACAGGAACAGGGATTTACAACACACGAGTGGAACATGTTTGATACCCCAGACATTTCTTACATTTCTTACATTTCAAATTGGCCCCTATAAGCCCGGACAGCAGGTGCCAGCCCTTGTGCCAACAGACAGCCGCGGGAGTTAAACACGTGCTAGTCCACTCTCTCGACGGGGAGCAAGTAGACTGGAAACTACTTAGGCCTGCCGGGCATCAACGCCACCATACAACAGAAAACTGCAGAGCATCCCGATTCCTGCATCCACAAGTTAGGCTGGAAGGCACCAGCCTGGCAGAAGGATTTGGGGGAAACTAAGGCAAAAAAAGGGTGGGGGGGGGAGAGCATTTTGCAACGGCCCCTGCACCTGTGCAGACAGAGAGGTCACAGCCAGCCAGGCCCAGCTCCCAACATCAATGCAACACAGGTCCCTAGATAAAAGATGCGACCCACCAACTGAATGCAGCACCCAGAGCCTGCACCACACCTGACTGAGCAGGCCAGGCAGGGTCCTGGAGGAGCAGCCGCCCTTGTCCCAGTTCACTTCCCAAAAAGCAGAGCCTCCTACACACCCCTTCTCATGGAGCTAGCAAACATGCCCCCGAGACCTACCCTCCGTCCAGGCAAGCTCTTCTCCACCTGGAGAAAACATGTTTATTTTGCAGGCCAGGACAGAGAGGAGCGGTGGGACACAGAGAGGAACAGGTTAATTATTAACTTCCCCTGGGCAGGATGAGGGCAGGGATCCAGGAGAGCTGGCAGCTCCCCGATTTTCCTGCATAAAGAGGCGGCTGCAAAAGAGACCTCCTGAAGACTTGGGAACCCTCCACACTTTCCTCCCGGAGTTTGGGGGTGGGAGGAGGCCTGACTTTACGCTGAGGTTCTTCCAGGGTAGCGGGCAAAGCCCCGACTCCATCTCATCTGTGCCGCCCTTCAAACGATCGATGCCCCAGTCCACATCTGGGCCCACTGCTGGTCACTCGACGTCCTTGCAGCAAGTCCTGGAGGTGCCGCAGGTGCAAATACAAGGGAGACCTCCCCAAATGCATGTGCTGGGAGGGCTCCAACCCCCTCCACCTTCATGGCAGTCCCAGGCTGTTGCCTGAAGGGTTGAGCAAAACCGCAGGGGCCAGATGGAGCCACCAGACTGCCAGTTCCTAGCCCAGCTCTCCACTTCTCTGTCCACCAGCAGCAGAGAAGTGAAGAGAGGTGCTTTATTCACAGCCTATGCATCACGTGTCCATTAAAGTGAGAAAGACAGGGTCCCTGCAAACGCCAGCCTAAAGACACCTCATTTCCCAGGGGATGAATCCCACCTGCCCAGCCCGGATGCTAAGACAAGGGAAGCGCTTGCAAGTGCTCACTCCTTCTCGGGGCCAGCCGACGGGCACCGGTGCTCACAGGGCTGCTGATCCTCCGATGAATCCAGCAAGATGCCTGTTGGATGCTCTTGGACACCGGGGAAGAGGAGACTTCAGTCAACTCAGACTAAAGAAGCCAACGGCTCTAACCCCAGGCCTACGATGGAGGAAGAGGCA